AAGTACCCAGACTCACACACCTCTGGGGAAAGGACAGCAGTAATGGTGGAATAGCCTGAAAAGTGGTGTCAGTGTCATTGAATTGGAGATGTGGACACTGTTGCTTCGGCAAATGGTTTGGTGTCTATATTGTTCACCATAATTTTTTTTTTCATAATTTTAAATAGAAGAAAAAAGCCTATCTCATAAATCAAGATCTTTCAAAGGTTCACATTATAAATATGCATAGATAGAAAAAACTGACACATCTCTGGAGGCACAAGTGATGTTTCTTACCAGGGCCTTTGGCTCTTCCAGGAAGCAGATGTCCTAGTCGGAATATGATCACTCTCTCGTGCTCCTGTACAACCTAAAGGGGAATATAAGACTCTCAAATCACTCAAGTATGAACATTAAATTCCTCAAAACTATTGCCACGAGAATGATCTAGGCATCAGAGATCTTTTGTTTTTGAGACCAAACAAAACAACAGTCTGTTACTTGAAGTTCTAGCGCTGAAGGTGGAGCGTGACATTAGTGAAAATGATGGAGGAGAGTGCGCGAAGGGTCCAGCCGTCCACAGAAACTCCAAAAACAGAAGCAACGTTACAGAGAGTCGGAGTGAAAGTCACTGAAAGAGAGCAAATGGTCTCCCACAACCGAGAGAACATTCAAAAGTGAGCGAGGTCAAGATTTGAACCTGATAGCAGAGCATGACAGTATTGTACCAGGTCTTATGCCATGTCAACATCCTCTCTGGGACAGCAGTTGGACAGCCCACTTCCAGAAGGAGGAGCGCAGACCTGGTTCCCAAAGGGTTGTGTTTGTCTGTTTTGACCTGTCGGAAGGTACTCTGAAAGACGAACTCAAAGTGCTTCCTTTGTTTCTCTTCGCCTGGAATTCTCTCAGGACGGAAGCGTGGCTAAGGAGAAGGTGGGCCTAGGCACTAGTTAAAGGAAAATGAACAAGCTGCTGCCACCCGTGGCAAGACATTTACAGTTGGGGAAGACAACAGATGCACCCAATCTGCAGCCAAAGCTGGAGAGAGAGCTGGAGCCTGCACTGCCGCCCTTTCATGAAGAGATAGCAGCTATGTCGAGAACCAACAAGAAACAGAAGCAGCAGCACGTGTTGTCAGCAAGACTGGTTCCTAACTTTGGTAAAGTAGAGGGGCAGTGAAAAAGAGGGACACCTTGGACAAGAGGGACTGACACAGTGGCTGCACGGATGGGCTCAACTATAATCACTGTAAGGATGGCCCAAGACTGGGCAGTGTCTCATTCTGTTGTTCACAGAGTCGCTATGAGCTGGAATCGACTCTACAGACGCTAACGCCGACAGTGACGATGGTGACGAGTCAGGATCAACTTGAAAAGGAGTGGGGTAGGTGGGCATCCCACACAGAGCAAACAGCATGTATGAAAACGCTGTCTGTCGAGCAGGGTGGGCATGATGTGGTCCGGAAGATGCATCGGGAAATTACTTATTGGGTCCTTAAGAAATCTCACCTTTATGCAGAACCAGATAGAAAAGGGAAAGGTCACAATGATGAAGAGCAGGGACGTAAGGACCAGAAGCCACTCACAGGCCCCTAAACCAGACGACTTGGTACCTTTAAAGAAAACAACAAAGCAAAAGAATTAATTATACGAGGACTTCACAATATTCGGTGCTAACACTTGTTGGTCCAGCACATGCATGTTGAGGTCAGAGCTGTTTGGAGACATGGCTGGCAGTTTGAGGATGAGCAGGATAACAGAACTACCTGGAACCAGCACTGACCCTGGGACACCAGAATTGGGTTCTAGTTTCACCATTTGGTTTCACCATTTGCTGTCCAGGTGACCTTAATCAAGGTCACACAAAATATTCAAACTTTAGTGTCTTCATCTAAATGATGAGGTTGAGAACCACTATCTCATAAGGAAGAAACGGCATAAACATAGAGGGGTGGTGGTGGGGAATCTGAACTGTGCTTTACCTGCCTCAGTTTTACTGGGAGTTTTACTGGGAGTGCCATGTGCCATGGACCAGATGTGCCCAGAAGCTCATCTTCCTGGAAAGAACTCCCCCACTGACTACCTGCCTCCAAGTCTGGACTTAGCCCATTGGAGCACCTGCTTCTTTGGATTCAAGTATGGATTTCCAGAGGGTCTTTGAAAATCACCTACCTGATTAGCCCATTCAAAAAACTCACTGCCATTGAGTCAATGCCAACTCATAGCCACCCTGTAGGATGTGGTGGAAATGCCCCTGTGTTTCTGAGACTGTAACTCTTAATGGGAGTAGAAAACCCCATCTTTCTCCCACAGGGTGTCTGGTGGTTTCGAACTGCTGACCTTGAAGTTAGCAGCTCAACTCATAACCACAAAGCCACCAGGCTCCTCAGTAGACCCATTAGTGCCCATAAAAAAGTGATGCAGGGTATCCAGGTTGCTTGGATAATAAATGAAACTTTAAGAGAAACTCAACTTTAAGAACACAAGCTCTTTGGGGGCTTGTCTTGTTTGCCTTGTGACCCCTGGACCTAGAATAGTCCCTGACTCATAATATGTGCTCAATACATATTTGTTTCATGGAGAAAGGAAGAAAGGAATGAATGATTTAAAATTACTTAAGCATAATATCAAGATTAAAATTCTTGAGATTAAATATTGAGTGTCTGACAGTTTTGAAATCTCACAGAGGACTAAGGATTGGACTTTGTTGGTAAAATCTATTTTAAAGGGACAGATAGAAAGAGCATAACTAATTGGAAGGCCTAAATTTTAATTCCCATGACTGGAAACTCACTAGAAAGGTCATCACCAAATTGATATGCAGTTAGTCTCTTCTCCACTTCCCTCCTCTAGGGCTGGACCTGTTTATTTAATTTCCCTGAGCGTGTTTTCTCCTCTGTGACATGAGAATCGTAAAATCGACCTCAGGAATTGACATGGGACCTCAATCAAGCACACAGCCTCAAACACTCCCGCTGCTACCGAATTGATTCCGACTCATGGTGACCCTATAGGACAGGGCAGAACTGTCCCCATGGGTTTCTGAGACTGTAAATTTACAGAAGTGGAAAGCCTCATCTTTCTCCCACAGAGCAGCTGGTGGTTTCAAACAGCTGACCCTGCTACTAACAGTCCAACACATAACCACTACATCCACAGGGCTCCTGGGCACCAAGGAGGGGCTACATAAATGGCAGCTTCCTTCTTTGCCTACCCTGTTGATGGGGTCTGATACAGAGCACTTAGAAACCCGCTAGCATGCGTGTGGCATTGAGCCCACTAACCACTTAACAATCAGAAATGTCTGACTGATGAAAAGGCAACACAATGACTACTAACCAAAAGGTGGGAGATTTGAGTCCCCATGGCGGTGCCCCAGGAGAAAAGCCTGGGAATCTTTCCAAAAAGTAGTCAAGGAAGCCCAGGGAGCAGTCACAGGTCTGTCCTGACACCATCAACCCCACAGCACCTGGTTGTTTTAACTACACGTCCACTTCAGGAAGCCTTCTCAAAACGTTTAAGTGCAATTGCTGCTAACAGGAACTGGCAAACACAATTGGACAGCCAACAGAAAGCAACACAGTTCAGAATTCCTTGTTGACTTCGCTGTTAGCATGCAGTACTGAGGGCTGGACCCAATCAAGTTGTTCTGGAGAGCTGTTTTACTTACAGAAGCAAATAATAATAATTAATAAGAATAACTTTTCCTTGCAATTCTCTCCTTTGGCTTTTTAATAATTTTAAGTTTTATTGACACATACTTCATGTATCATACATTCCCATAGTTTAAACCCATTACAAAGAGTTGGGCAATCATCACCACAATCAATTTTGACTTCACACTTTCTAATAGCTTGCAAGGATCCTGCTGTAACTGACCAGGGTTTTGGCCCAGGCCCTGCTGGCAGTGTTTTACTCCTTTGTTCTCAGGATGCCCCTCTGGGGTGCTCACTGTTGCTAGTGGCTCTGATGATGGGTGGGAAGGCCCTGGCCTAGGATCGCGGGGGGGTTAGCCAGGGGGCTGAGCTCACGTTTGAACTCCGACAGGACTAAGTTTGGAGCTCTAGCCAGTGGTGCTCAGCCTTCCTCATGCCGCCACCCTTGCATACAATTCCTCATGTGGTGGTGACCCCCAACCATAAAATGATTTTCGTTGCTACTTCATCACTGTAATTTTGCTACTGTTATGAATCGGGCAACACCTGTGAAAGGGT